AAGATCAAATCTCCTCGAATGCGGCGATACTGTGTGGAGTACAGTTGCAGTGATTCCAGTCTTTCCACCTAACTCTTGGAATGCAGTCCTTTGACCATTTTGGTAGCCATTGTTTGTGGACGTTCCAGAATCTTTTGATCGCGTTGCAGCCATGGATTCCATGCTTGAATGGCGTACTCTGTGTGGGGTCGAATGTAGGCTGATAACAATCGTGGGAACAGCATTGGTTCAAATTTGTCAAATACTCGTTTTAGCAAACCAACATGTCTTACAGCGGTAGACAATGCCCGGGAGCAGTTTAAAGAACAGCGTAGGTCGTCTTGAACAATGACGCCTAGATGGTTCTCATTCGAGGCGTATGGAAGCTGTTGATTTCCTAGAAAATACGGGAACCGAATTTTGTGTCGAACCGTGTGACGAACAAAGAACGTGTCACGGGCCCTTCTACATGAATACATTCCCAAAGCCGCGTCCGACATCACCAGCCTGTCCCTAATCTTTTCGTTTACAAGGGGCGAAACCTTCAGTGTGCGCCGTCGTTTTGCAGCAATAAAAGTAAGTCGTACAGTAGCATCGAAGCGCCTCGTGAGTATTTCCAGTGAAATATGAGTAAATACATTTTCCCAGCCGTCGTGAATCACGTCTCATCAGTTGTCCTGGTATGTTTGGAACGTTTTTGAAGGTAACTATGGACCCAGTATTTTATTCTTCTGTTGTTCTCTACTCCAAGTCCCAGAGTTTGTTTGGTTATCTGCATAACTAAATGATGTAATGCACAGAGCGATTAGGTAGAGTAGATGTCTCTCGTCTTCCGGGTTGGCGTCCAAAAGACTCCGTAACTGGATGGTTGGAGACACTGAAGATCATAGCAGCACACCGACAGCAGTGGCGATGTTGCTGTCACTTCTTATCAGGCCAGAATGCTTCAACTATTATGTATGCGCAGGTGGATTGTGCTATGTATGCAGTGACCATAGAGGTGCACTTTCTTTTCCCGTCCCTAGAAATAGGCCCAATCCCTGTCGTCCTTACACATTCTGACTTACATTATGAGTTTGGCAGCAATCAATGAAGTTCGCTTTACCGTTTTACGCGTTACAATGATGAGAGTGTGCTATATACTATGAAATTTGTCGAAATAGTCCTACGGAGCACATTTCAAACAACACAACACAGTGGTGAACAAGCTGGTTTTCAGAGATTCGTATTCATGCCAATGTATATATGACAGTTTTGTAAACAACGGTGTTGATTGTTGTTTTTGTAGCTCGGGTGGTATAACTTGGTGTTCAGTTGTTCGCCGAGCT